TCGGGAGATAGGGATTCAATCTTGAAAAGAGAATAGGACTAAATAATGTTGAAGCTTGAGCCTTGGGAAGTCTCTACATCTAGAAGATGGTGGGGAGGAAGGCAAAGAAAAAGAATCAGCAAAGGAGACGTAGCGCATAGCTATAATGAGACAGTTATACTCACAGAGGAGAGGCAGAGTCAGTTTCAAAATGAGGAGGTGGTCAACATCGTCAAATGCAGGAGCTGAAGAAGAATGCGGATTAGTGATGAAGAATTTGTTGAAATAACATAGGAAAAACCTTTCTGGAAATCCTTCAACATTCAGGATTCCCAAACTTTCAGAATGAAAATTTCTGAACTTTTGAGGAAAAAAAACAACTCAGTAAAGTAACTGTTGTAAATCAATTTTATTCGGCCCCATACATTGCTCTGTATTTAATACTGGAAGAAAAAAATATGCCAGACTACATAGACTAGGTAATTGCAACAAGCACAACAAAAAATGATCGGTTAAGTAAGTCTATTTTTCTCCACAAAAGAATCTGCCGGTGAGCAGTCCAAGCCTTATGTTCCGTGAAACATTTGGGGATGCTTTTCCTCATCCCCATGCTTTGAGTTCTCTTAGGGTGGTGGCTTTGTATGATCAAGGCTGCCCTAGCTTCGATCAGGTTTTCAAACCAAGTCATGGGAAGAAGGGAAGGCAGTAGAGGGAAGGTGGCTTCATCTTTCAGGAGATGACCTGGAAGTTAAACTCATCAACTGTGTTCGCGCCACAGAGGCCTGAAATAGTCACATTCAGGTCACATTAAGCTAGGTTGGGAAATGTGATCCCAAACTGGTGGCCGTGCGCCCAACTAATGTTCAGGAGAAATAAAATGGGAAATGGAGGACCATTAGTGGTCTTCAGCACACAGGATTGGAAGGAAATTGGTCTTTCTTTGTAAACTGGTTTTCATAGAATTCAATTACTTGAATTCTTATAGAACACAAATATGCTATGTGGCAATAAAGACCATTCTTAGATCACTCTATTTTTGTAATGGAATTTATAAATTAGAAAAAATTCTACTGGCTGGCTAGTTTACTAGAGAACTAGTAAAACCACTAAGGATATTAAATTAGTGGCAATTGTAATGAATCACTGAAATACAGACAAACAATAAAGACAAACAATGCGGCACTATATCTGTATTACTTACTGATTGCTAAGTAACAAATTATTCCAATAGGAGCTTAATACAATATTTATTATTCTCACATAGTTTATAGTCAAGAATTTCAGAATCCCAGAGTTTAACTGGATGGCCTGGCTTGGGATTCCTCATGAGGTTGCTGTCAAGATTTGTGGCAGAGTTGCAATCGTTTGAAAGCATGACTAGGCTGGAGGATTTGCTCCGAGGCTGACACACATGGCTGTTGATGGGAGGCTCTAGTTCCCTAACAAAAGCACCTCTTTGGAAATCTGCTCAGGACTCATAGCAACCAGCCTTCACCAGACCGAGTCACTGACAAAAGAGGAAGTGCAAGAGACAACCAAAATGATAAAACTGTCTCTTATGAGAGGTTAGACACCATCACTTTTACTCTATTCCATTGATTATGCCGACTTACCCTGGTACACCGTGTGGGCAATTACACAAGAGTGTGAATACCAGAGGGAGGGAACATTGGGGGCCATCTTAGAGGTTGGCTTCCACAGTACTGAAACTTTTATTGGAAAAACTCCAGAAAAGCTATCACTCTTTAGAACAAAAGAACTCCACCAGAACAACTGTTAGCTCCAAAGTTTGTCAGAGTAAACAAATGGGCTTGAGGTATTTGCCGTGCACAAGAAAAAATCAGTTAACATATCTGCGTAAGATGAATTTAATACATTTCATGAGGCTCTCAGGAGCATTGAATCTTTCAGGTTTTAGTTGCTTAAAATGTCATTTTAAAGAGATCTTCTCTTTTGCTGGTCATAAATGGCTTCCTCAGTGAGAACATACTCAGACATGGTTTCTTGAGAAGTTTCAGAAGTGAAAGTTAACAAGGTCCTTGGAAAGTGAGTTTCTGTGAATTTGGGTCCAGTTTAAAGTCATAGGATCTTTCAACATTGCAGACTATATTTTGGGAGTTGGTATACAGAGGGTCTATCTTGGATTAGTCTCAAAATACCTTTTCCTTATACAGACCCAGGGTCAGATACAACAGCTTTTTCACTTCTAATTTTGGAATTAGAAGTAGCCAGTTCAGAGTGAGGCTGTTCTGCACTCATTCTTCAAGAGTGAGGCAATGAATAATTCTGCCAAGACTACACTTTTCTCAAGTGTAGAAAAGGCCAGAAATGTGTTATTCTTCTAGTACTTCCGATAACAAATCACATTTACAAGATAACATAGAATTTTGATGAATTCTGATAAAGGCCTCTGTGTTCTTCATATTTCATAATTCAGTTATGAATATTGCAATTGGACTCTGCAGTGTTAGGTTCTATACTAGAATACTTATTTGAATGACCCATTCGTACTTTGCTTATACTGTTGTCAGTGAATTAAAATTTTTGCTACAGAAAATAAAGATTGTAGAATTAATGATGCATTGGGTTTCCTTTTCTTTTTAAAGCATTTCAAAGGTGTTTGGGGGCTTCAGAAATGGTGATATTACTTCACTAACAATTATATATGTTAGCACATTTAAATATTAAAATACGGATAAACCTTAAAATAGAAAATACGTTTCAAACGCAGTCACCCCAAATGAAATTATTGTGCATATAAAAGTGGGCAAAGCTTTTTATTTGAATAACTTTTAAAACAACTAAAGCAATGTAATCAGGAACATTTCAATAACAAAACAAGTGTTGATACATTTCTAAAATGTAAAGTCTCTGGAAATAGAAATTTCTAATGTATCTTCAATATACTCAGCAATAAAACTAGCATGGTATGTAAAGATTTCCTACAAACACATAGTGAATATGGGATTAGTTTCAGAAATTCTTATTGAAGGATATTAAAGGTTAGGAAAGGCATGGTTTTCTTTTGGCATATGAGAAAGCCTTTTGTTTTTAAAATTAATACTGTAGAGTCTTCCTATTTTAGGAAATCAATATTTAAATTCTACAATTTAGATATTACTTTACTTTGAATTCCTCTGTGGGTTTCAAGCAAGTCTTTAAATGAAAAAGGCAAGCCATGTTATACTGGCAATACTCAGTAATTTTTTTTTTTTAGTGAAATGAGAAGCACATGCGATGTATGAATTTTTAGGGAAAGAAAAGCAACAGGCTTGACTTTAAACTAGATTTTTAAAAGTGATTTACAAGTGTTTATTTCTCTACAAAATGTACAAAATTTAATACAGGGACAAGAAAGTTAATTTAGACCACAAAAACTCGTATTTCTGAAGAACAGCTCAGTTGGAGGTAGAATCTTTAAAACATTAAAAAATCAAATTTAGAAGCTACAAGGAAAGTGTTAGCACAGGAGTGATTAAACCAAAAATAGTGAAAACAAATTTCTAAAACAGGAGTTTTCAGGAATTTGCGTTGGACCTTTAATATCTGGTACTTGCCTTGCCCCCATTCCAAAGAGTTTATTTGACTGTCTAAACCTACAGTTACACTCCACTCCACCCCCCCACCCCCACATACACTATGGCCGCAAGACGCCAGTAGATTTTATTATTATCCACGTATTTAAATAATTAGGACATCACATGCTGTTGTATTTTGGCAAAATAAAATTGTGGTGTCACCAAAACGTGCTGAACACATTCTGGGCTCTAACGCATGTGTGGGAAGTTGAGCTAGAAGCCTCAAGTGCTGCTGAACCCCTAGTCGATCCAGCGAGTTATCAAGTAATTATATGATAACTTTTTCAAGAAAAACAAAAATCTAACTTTTTCTGACCACTGACATCTCTTTGTGCTGGGATGCGCACAGTGGCACGGTGATAAAAAATGTGGAGGGGCATCACCTGGCCATCGTGCGCGAGCTGTACGTCTAATTTCTAGTAGGATTCAGCAGTACACGGGTGATTTATGGACAGTCTGTGTCGTCCTGCACGGTGCCAGTTCCAGGAGCCTTCGTCAATTAGCTCTGTTTTCTGCTTAAGCCATAAGCTTCCTCCATGGAAACGCCAGGAGGGGCTGCGGGGAGGGGAGCAGACAGGTGCGCCCTCTGTTCGTGAGGACACCAAGGGCCGACCTAGCCGCCGCTGCGTCCCTGGCAACTCCACGCACGCGTGCGCACTCCTCGCGGACTCGCGGGGCGGGCGGCGGCCCAGAGGGAGGGGCCGTGCGGGAGGCGCGCGCAGAGCGCCGAGAGTCGGTTCGCGGAGACCCTCGGCCTCCTGGCAGACGCGGTGCCGAGGCAGCGCGAGGTGGTCTGTGGGCTGGCGCCGCCCGCGCTGTAGGGACTTGTAGTCCGCGTGCCTCCCGGCGCCTTCCCCAGGTAGGCGGGTCCGCGCTTCTCCGCCGACTTCCTGCCGCTGCCGAAACTACACCTCCCGCCATCCTCTCCGCTGTCGAGCCTGAAGCGGAAACAAATTGTGGGCTGCGAGGGTGCTGCCCTCCGCAGGGTGCCGCAGCCCGCTCCCCGCCCCTCCTGCGTCCTCCTGCGAGGTAGGGAAACGAAAGCCGCGTCTTTCTCTTGGGGCTTCATCGGCTCCCAATGGGAGGAGCGCGCGGGGGAACGTAGACCTCGCTTTACCTGAGTCAGCCCGGCGCTCGAGAGTCGCGCGTGTCTCCTCACCTCACACCAGTCGGGTCGGGGAAACGTGAGTGCGACGACCCCCGGCCGGGCCTGTTCCTGAGCCGGGCAGCGAGGCCACCGGGAAGTGACCGCACTCTCGGGGTCTCAAAATTTTCCCCCGGTTCTCCTTGGGCCCGTGGCTCCGCGGCGGACGGCCGCGTGCTCCCAGCCATGCATTAGGCAGGCCTGCCCTATGCGCGGGGAGAGCGCGGACCGCCGCCAGCCCGAGGCCGGGGCTCGAGGAGCCCGCGGCGCCGCCACGTGGGGCCAGCCCGCGCCGCGCCCGGCCTGCAGCAGGACCCACAACATGGAGGCGGCCGTCAGCACCCGAGACGGCGGGGACCAGGGCGCCGCGGGGTGCCGCGAGGACGCGACGTCCATGGACGCCTATCTGCGGAAACCGGGCTTGTATGGGAAAATGGTCTCCAAGGACGGGTCGTGCCTGTTCCTGGCCGTGGCGGAGCAGGTAACGGGGCAAGGAGGGCCTGTGAGGTGAGCGGCGGGGCCGGGTGGGAAGGCGGCGGCGGGCCGCTGTCCGGCCACGCACGTCCGGCGCTGCGCGTGGCCCCGCTGTCGTCACAGCGGCGCACGGTAGCGCCGGATCGGGACTCTGCCCTGGGTCTGGAAGCTGAAAATCGAAACTTAAAAAACTTAAAAACCCGTAAATTAACTGGGTGGCGTCCCTCCTGGTGTAGAGGTAATGAGGGCAACCTGTGAGGCCTGTTCAGGACTTCTGCAGTTCGTGGATTGCTGGGGACTTGACGAGATATTTCCCCATTTTCTTACGCATTCACCGTCGGCGTTCACACCAGTAAATCAAATGTCTACTAGAGGCGGCAGTGCGCCAGACTTCACTCGCAGAACTTAATTTTTTTCTCCTACTGCACTTTGGAGTGTCGGGTAGTCAAGCTTGCCGAGGTCCCCTTGAATCAGGAGGGGATAAATGTGCAGTTGGTAAAGCTAGCCTTGTAAACATTCAGAATGTATTAAAAGAGTTGTCTTTGAATAGAGCCCACACTTTATTTTTCTCCGTAAGGCAGTATACAGGTGTAGTAAGAGCAATTTACTGTTTTGGCTTGTTGGTAGGGGACAAAGTATATACGGGTGTTCCCTGGGCCTTTCTTGACCGAGTTTTTCCTACAGGATGGTTAGAATCACATTCTAACACGGTTGCTCGGGACGTGTTTTTGATTTTTGTTTGTAAGAGAGCTTATTCCGTGTTACGTAACACTGTGCAGTTGGTAGGTATACAGAAAAAACAAACAAAAAACAAGCTGATCCTATATTGAAAAATAGCTGCTGAAATTAAATAGGAGGGTAAAAGTTTCACGTTACTGCCCTGGTGTGTATTGCATACCTACCTTTCACAGTTCGCCCTTCTTTGGCTTAAGATACACCCCTTTTCTCCCCTCCCGTAGAGTTTTTATGTTTCTGTTTTTCTCACCTTTTTTGAAGCCTAATTAGCTTTGAAGTTTTGTGTTTGTGAGTAAATGTTTTACTTAACATCTGTAGACCCAGTCTATTCTCATTTTTTTTCGACATCAGAAGTCCAGCCAATGTTTTCACATCCCTGGATAATTTTTCCTTTTTTCAAACCAGGAGTTGATTCAGTTGGTACAAACCTTTGCATTATGTTACAGGCATTACCATTCAAATATTATAAAGCTCCCCAAATTGAGCTTTTTCAGTTCATTAGATTTCTCTCATGTTTAGAAATTAAGGATGTTCCAGTGTTCTTGTGGGATATGTTCACACACCCACCCGACTCTTTACTATTAGTAGATAAACAATCTGTTCCATTTGTGAATTTTCTGTGTCTCCATCTGTGCTGTTTCCTCAGCGTCAGGCTGCCTGGCCCCAGCACCTTTAGAAGCAGAGTAAATTCCCCGTTTATACAGACTATTAGCTGTAGCAAGAGTGGTAAGGAGGTAGAAAGGAATAGAAATATCTGGAATTGCAAATTACCAGGTCCACCTGTGTCTGATTTCAGTATTACTAGCTGTAGATAATTGGTGAACTTGATTAAGCGGAAGCCTCTGTTACTGTAGTGGGATCTCTGTTTTTAAGTAGAGAGGCAAGAGCTCGTTAACACTAAGCACTCAACATCAGATAACACATTTTATTGTTATCTTGTGGGTGGATTTAAGTTAGGTGCAAGAGAATACCTCCTCCAATTTAAGCCACTCTTGATGTTTTTGTATACTGAGTTTAGAAAGCTCAATACCATAAATTCTGGGGCAGGACACCTCCTCTGTAGATGAGGACTGTGTGTATAGCCCTCACCGTCAAAGGCAAGGTATGTGTTTGCGCATGTGTGGGCGAGGGGGTAACAGCAACCTCAGGCTGCCCTTTCAAAATAAGTACAAAGGCTTTACTTTTCTGCCAACAATTTCTCCAGCATCAAAATAATTTATTGTGTCTAACGAAGAGTCAGAATGAGCAATCTGAAAGACAGTCTTGGTTGGGGAGAGGAGACTGGAATTAGGGGTAGTCTTTACCCCCAAATTACTTGATTTAGTTAGGCCCTTCCCTTTTTACACTCTGCAGGAGGCCTGACCTGAATCAGCTCTGTGGCCATGGAGCTAAAAATAGGACACACTTAGGGATTTGCTAAAGCAGTGTCTCTCAGCCTTTCCCAGTGCTTTATCGCTATCTTGTTGAAAGTAAAGACTGGAAAGTCTCCTACGTCTAGGTTATTTTCAAGTATATAAAAATTTGCAAATATATTTTTCATTCCATTTGCATTCTTCGTGAGTGTCCTTGAACTTTGCAGTGCCAGACGTTTTAAACAGTTGTCATGTAACCTTGCTTCTGTTGTAGTGCTTGGCTTTGTAAAGCACTAGCCCCCCATTCTTCATGGAGGTTTTTGAGAGCTTTGCTTCTGAGTAAAAGGTTCGTATTTCATGTGCAAATAACATCTTCGTTAAAAGTGGAGAAAAGATGAGATAGGCCTGTCATTGTTTTTGACGGGAAATAAGCCTTCTTCACTTCTGCCTGCCACCTGTTGCTACGTAGATGGCTTTAAGACCAGCTTCCCTTGCTAATGGTAGGAAAGCCCTATCAGATGACCCTGTGGTTTACTCCAACTAATAATACCCTGATTCATATAGTCTAGGTATGTCTAACATATCTTCTGTGAAAGAAGGTGTTGCTAAACGTTATTTTTTGAATTGGCAAAAAAAAATTGTGTGGTGGTTATTTTTACATGGGGAGAGCCCTTCAAGTGCAGGATGCTTTTTCATTGTTCCCAAGATAGCATGGGGCTACATCCAGGTTGAAAGCCAGCTAGTATATTGAAAACGAACTCATTGCAAACCTCAGCTAGCGCGTCTTCCGTATATCTCAATGGAAAGGGACATAACTGGCTGTCAAGAGAGTTGTGCCGTTGGTTCTGTGGGTGTAAATGAGCCTTGGCTGTGGACGACCAGCAGTCAGAGATCCCCTTTTCTCTGCTTACCCTGAACATAAGGTTGAGTCACTCAACTGGAGCTGTAACTTTTAAAGTTACTTGATATTAATGTAAAATCCCAAGGATCCTTTTTAGTAGTTTGAGATGTGGTTATTTTAAATGCCCCAGGTTTTTTTTTTTTTTTCACTCCCACCATGACCCTTTAGTGGTATCAGGTACACCTTCACTGGAGATACCTAGTAATAGGAAATTAGTTTAATCTCCTCTTTTAAGCATGGCAGTTGAAAATATTGGAGGCCAGCCAGAGGACTCCTGACAGTTTTAAACCAAAACTTTGGAATTCAGAGACAGAATGCCAGTAAGTTATCCTTTTGTTGAACTAGTTTAACGAAAGAATACAGAGTCTACAAAGTGAGAGAATTTGGATCATCATTGTAGTGTGACTTAGTTTGGGTAGTGCTTTAAGAAAAGATTTTGGGCGTAAGTGCCAGTTTCAAGGCTATTGGGATGACAACACACAGCAACATGTTTGTATCCTATGTGCTGCCTATTTGGATGTTCTTTCAAGATTCACTGAAGTCTGACAACTGAGGATTTAAGAATACAAGGATTAATTTTTGTGAAACCGCAGTGGACTTAAATTTCTACATCAGGCAAGTAATTCAAAATTCCTGGGAAAAAGGAATCTTACAGGCTTAAAGAATCAAAGAGATTTCCTGTTGAAGTTGCCTCTTCTCTTTTCCATCCAGCATAGGACGATGCTAAGCACTGTGTAACAGGGATTCTGCTAGCCCTGCTTTGTGAAGAGCAGACTTACCGCAGAGGGCTGGCCTAGAAAGTGTCTTAAGTTGACAAAGGTTTCCTTAAAGGGAGTGATGTAGTGACCTGAAGGAGAAATGGTAATAAGCTGTTACAGAATGACATCTGACTTAAGAAGTACTACTGTTCGTATATGTTACATTATTTCTGTAGTTAGAGGAAGAGTTGGGAATGTAAAGATCTAGAAATTATGGAAAGGGTAGTGGAGACTGATGTCCGTTGGTTGTGAGGTTGTCTTGGGTGTGAAAGAAGACACTGGGTTGTAACTCAGGTCCTCATTTACCGAAATGCTTAATAACTATTCTTTTTCTTAGGTATTGCACTCTCAGTCTCGCCATGTTAATGTCAGAATGACCTGTATTCACTATCTTCAAGAGAACAGAGAGAAATTTGAAGAGGTAGTTTGTAATTTTAAACATACAATGGTGTCTTGACTTGCACTTACATTTCAGCTTTTATAAGTGGTCTGGTGGGAATTGCACAGGCTGGCTCTTACTGTAGGTTATGAAAATAACCCTTATAAAAAAAGAACTGTTTTATTGAATTCAAATCCAGTTATATTCATTTGTGATTTGTTTTTAGTCCATTTTGTGGTATTCATTTATTCAGACATTTAGAAATCATATGACAGATGAGAGACACCGCGCTGTGGAGGATGGAAGGATAACTTGGGCAGGATCCTTACATACAAAGAGTGTGCTTTGTCTGACATGGTCAGGGAATTGGGTGTTGGTGCTAATAGTTTTCTGTGATTGTTATCCCGCCTATGAATTTAAAAACCTTCAGACTTGGAGTATAAAAAACTTGCTGCATACAGCTAATACTGAACCTGTATCAGAAGGCACATACAGGTTTCTAATTTTTGAGGTTCATCATCGTGAGTCACATGTCAGAACACTGTACTTATGTAAATAATGATTAATAGTTAATAAGGCATTGTATAACAACTTCTCTAATTTTCTTTGTACTACGTAGTAGGCTGTGAAATAAGATGCCACAGTGGTCTATTTTCATTTCACCTCAAGCCTTATAGGATTTACTGGTTGGTGCTATGACCCAGAATTATGTCATATGAATATGACAACTTCCAATGATGGTATTTCCCCCCACTGAATGCCAAAAGAACATTGGCACTTCACCTGTCAAATGTTATAATTGACATATTTGCAAATAGATCTTAGTTTGAATATGCTCTTGAGTTGGTATTGCTGCTATATTCAAGTGAAATATTATTACTGGTAATGTTTTCTTGGGTGCCATGTTATATGATGGACATGTAATTTATTCCAGGAAGGAGAGTTACCTGCTTGATTAGGAAATTCGAGAACTTGTTTTATAAAAAAACAAAACAAAATTGGTAGTGTGGAAGCTAGATGAGAGAGTATTAGGGTGTGGTGGTAGGTAGGTGGTAGAGGAGGGGGAGGAGAGGTGGAGCAGTGTATAAGTATTTGAAGAACTTAAAAGTAAATTAATCACTATTGATGGCCCCAGTTGTGGAAATTCATTTGTGTTGACAGTAGTGGAAATTTCCAACATCAGTTGAGTGTTTACTATGTGCCAGTCTTTGTTTAAGTGCTTTGCATGTATTTACTTAACCCTTACATTCTTAGGAGGTATGATCAGAGGTTGAAAGTTCTAAGGGGGAAAGTTCCATTTTCCTTACAATAAGGACCTTTTAATAGTTTTCCTTGGGCAGAACTGGAAAAGGCTGTCATGGGAGTTAGGGGTGTAACTTGTTACTCACATGTAGACAGGGCCTGCCTAGCTGGATACTTTCTGATTATAAAGGAGAATCTCAGATTGGATGCAGGTTTGTGTCAGAACACCATTTAGGTGTCTTCCAACTTTAAGTGATATTGTGGGTTTTTTTTTTAAAGTCTGTAAATAATCACCTATATTTATTGCACTTTTAAATAATCATTTACAGACTCTCTTTTAAGTCTGCAAATACAGAACAACAGCTTCTGATTGGTGGGTATTTAAAATATGTAGTTATTTTGTGTGGAAACTTAAGGTAACTTTTGCGAATTTGACAGTGTATGATTTGTAGAAGAAGTAATTTCGATCTTAAAAAGTCCATGGGTGTTTAAAAGATTTTTATAGACTGGGGCGGGGTGTACTTTAATGTTTTTAAGTGTATCACTTTGTAAAACTGGCTGTGACTGTCATTTAAATAAAGTTGAATTTGGTGTTTTGGACAACTGTCTTTTAGAGCATTTCTCAGTTAGAGCATTGTCTATGAGAAAAACAAAAACCATCACATAGCTTGACTAATCTCAGTTTTTATGTTAAACTAACAATGAAGCAAGCTGTATTAGAAAAATCTTGATTCTTCCAAGTATCTTCAGCATTATAGTGTAACTGACCTTAACAGGCAGTGAATATATTCAAATATTTATGTGTATTAATAAACAAGTATTTTTTAGCTAGTGCTTTCTGTCTTTCTCTTCTATGCCTTGGCCATTACTAAATTAATCCTAAAGTGCTGCATTTATCATGTAATTTCTCTGTTCATAAAGTCACCTGCCGAGATCTTGAATCGCCTTGTCCCTCAGTCTGGAAGTCCTGGCTCGAGGCCCTCTGCAGACAGGTGTCCAGTTGAGTTCCTGCTCTGCCAAGTTGCCCTGCTGGCCAGATCGCTCCTGTCTTCCCAACACAGTGCTGTCACTGCCTCTTGCTGCTGCATGATCCCTGGGCCCATCCATGTCCTGTCTAGGAAAACTTTCTAACGTTGTTTCCTTATTCAGAGTATTTTTTATGTTTACGATCTTTACTTAATGATTTGTATATATTTTCATAATGAGATTTTTTTGTGTGTGTATATAACTTGATGCATCCAAGGTTTGTGCAGCAGTGCAGAGGCTAATTTTTTTCCCTTCAGTTTGGTGGTGATTCTTAGGAGTTGCTCTGTAGGGAAGAGTATCTAAAACTTACTACAAGTAAGAGAGTATGTGTCCTAGGAAGTATAGATATGATGTTATAGACATTCAGTTTTATTTCTAGCTGGGCTGGCGAAGATAGAGTGAGTTGGCATTTGAAGTCTGAATAGTTGCTGAGGAAGAAATGCCTGGGGTGAAGGGTTAGTTCCTGGTAGTGAAAAAATTGTGATCAAGGCAGAGTTAGAAGGCAGTTCAGTCAGTGTGGAGCATGGAGCAAGCAAAGGAAGTAGGGAGAAAAAAGTCAGAGGGCAGGCTGTGGACCAGGTCATGGGAGAGCCACCAGTGCTAGGGTCAGTAGTTTGGAGCTTATACTTCAAGGCAGCACTTCTCAAGATAATCTCTTTTCTCTCATATTGTATCTCTATGGTAGACTACTACAGACCATCTGCATTAATAGTACCAGAGGTGATTGTAAAAGTGCAGATTTTTACAATACTGGAATACTGGTCTATATTCCAGACCTTAATTAATGTCTCTGTATTTGGGGCGTGGAAATATGGCACTGGGAAGGCTTTCAACTTTTTTGAAGCAAGAAGTGCATATTTTTCACACCGTTAACCAAAAAGAGTGCCTGTTTTTGCTGGCAGTCTGAATGGTTGATGAAAGAACATTATATATAAAGATGGTTGGGAGGGAGGTGAGACAGAGGCAGGAAGACCCATTGCAATGGTTTAGGAAAAAGAATTGTTTACTACATGGAAAAATGTGCACACTGTATTAAAGTATAAAAAAGGTACAAGTATAGTATTATACCAATAGTTTTGGAGACAAATAGCCTCTGAAGGCCTTTCTGCTAAATCCACTCCTGAGTACATTTTTATTTAAATGATGTCAGGACTGAGTTTTTCCCACTGATACCATGGTCACAAATTCCTTTCTTGAAGTTTATATTTTTTCATTTTAGTATTAAGCACTCTTTGAAGGCAAGGATTGTGTATTTTGTTGCCTTTGGAATTCCCTTTGTTACCTTTCGGTTTGGGGTGCCTGCTTGCTCTGTATGTGTTGACTGAATGTTAAGCCCATATAACATTGTATTTAACAGATAGGAAAGATAACCAAGAGTGTGTTAACAGTCCTGATCTCTAGGTGGTAATGTGACTGGTGATTTTTAACTTCTATGTAGAAAATAAAAGACGACTTAATAATTTTTTAATTCAGACAACCCCCTCAATGTTATTTTACCAATAGTCCTGGTGAAGCAGTTCTGGCTATCAGACTGTGAGGGTCTGAGAACGGACAGACATAATGGGAGTGGAGAGAACTGTACAGAGGGAGGAATTGAGGTGGTGGGAACTGACCTGACTGACTAGAGGTCTGCGGGAGAGAAGGAGGGAAAGCTGCTGTGGACTCCTTCCCAGGGCGCTGCTGACTGGCTAGATGTTTTTATTGTTAGCAACACCTCCCTCTCTAGTCTCATCAGACCTGTTCTCCATATGTTTCAGGCACCTTCCAAACAGTTGTTTGTTCTTCTTTATAGCAACAAATGCTTATGTGTTCATTCATTTCATTTTCTCCCTGCTTATATGGGATGTATGAAACAAAGGGAAATATAGCTAATGCATAAACTCCATTACTTCATCCACTTCTCAGAGAAGGTGCCTTTATCCTTTTACCTAAAATACCAGTGGAGCATTTTGAAAAATGTTTTTAACTTTGTGCAATAATACATTTGATCAGTTTTACTGAAGTAAAACAGACATACAATAAAATTCACTACTTCTGAGTGTGTAATGTGATGAGATTTGACAGATGTGTAGAGTTGTACCGTGGATAATCTCTTTTCTGCCGTCATCATCAAGGACCTCATTTCTTGAGGACCTGTTTAAATACCCCATTTCCCAAGGTCACTCTGTTTCTGTTTTCATTAGTAGTTATTTTCTTTGACAGACTCTACAAAACTTTGTAAACATCATATTCTGTTTTATATTCTGGTTTGGTAAACATCTCTTTGTTTAGCCTACAGCTGTATTAGAGAGATCTTCAAGGGAAACAGGGACTAGATCCTAAGTATATGTTTGGAGAGTAAATTAAATTTTACTTCTTGTCGCCTATGAAAATTTATAATTGTGTACTATAATGATTTGTACATGTGACTTACTGCCCCAAATAGACTATGAAATTTTTCTAAAAATTATTAAAATGAAGTTGAAAAGTACATCATGGATCCCATGCCAAGAAGAATCAACTGTATGACAAAGGGAGTAGAAAATTATCACAGGTTTGGGCATAATACAAGGGCATGGCTTAATGTGTACTTTTGATGTAAGGCTGAAGGGTGCAATGAAATAGTGAAGACTGGAAACAGGAGGTTATTTGAAAGGCTGATCGAGTAGTCTAACATAGCGATGCAATATGAGAGAAAAGAGATTACAGTCCTGTAGTTTTTCTAACTTTGTGGAGAATGGTAACATTATTATGCCAAGGGAAACAACATTCGTTAAGTTACATTAAGTTTTCTCCCCTGTGTTGGTTTTATGAAACCGTAAGTCATTTCATTTACATTAGTTGATTGGAAGAATACTTAGTAGTAAGGCTCTTCCGGTATATGAAAGATACATTCATTCTGTATTTCCAATGAGTAATAAAGAGAAATAAATGAAAGTAAACTCTCACATGAGGGCTTGAACCAAGTTAAAAATTGCCTATCAATATTAGTGAATTCTTGACTTTGTCAGCCTTTGAGTTCTTTAAAGAACCCTGGAGTATCCTTTAAAGATAAATTCCTTGTAAATTGCCACGAGTTAGATACAAGAGCAGCCTTCCTTGTTAGTATGTCTCTGTTTGTAGAAATCATAGTGCTATCTGGAAGGCCCTCCTCACATGTGCACAGGCACACACACACACAAACACGCTTCAACATGACCCACATTTTATCATCAATTTTATTTCAGTGTTCACCCTCTATTCAGATTATTTTATTTACTACTGATTGATTTACTGTATGATTACAGTTCTTGGAGGTGCTGACAGCTAGCCGAGGACAGGTTAATACAGGAAGTGAAGGAAACTGAGTATAGTGCATCGAAAGAGAAGGAAGCCTTAGGTTGAGAGTATCTAGGTAATGCTGGAAAGTATGAGAAGATACAAAATGCAAAGTTATCAACCAAAAGGAAAAGTAAGGGAAGACTTCAATGCTGTAATTAACCTATGTCAGAATTCTCAAAGTACCTTTAGTTAGAGCTAAATCTACCTGAAAGAATCCTATGACTACCAAAGATAATATTCATATTTGCTTGTAGTACAGAAAATATCCATAGCTTTCTTCTTCCTTTCTTTGGGTGTGCAGAAAAATATTATGCCACAAAATAGGAAAGAAAGACAAAAATTTCAAGGCTTACCATTATTTGTGGTTTAATTTATATTTGTTTGTGGTGAGTTCAGACTCCATAAATCCTGTAATGAGAAAATGAGACTTATTTCCAATGAGCAAGGAGGAGAAATAAATGAAACTAAACTCTAATAGTAGGATCTTTATAATCCTATGACATTTTATAAGTTTATAATGAAACTTCTTAGGCTGACATGCATTAACTAGAATTATGGTGGGTTTTTTTTTTTCAGTTGAGACCTCAGTAATTCTGGAACTCGCTGCCGCTGAGAAAGTGCACACTGCTTTTTAGTCTATACTTGAACTAAATTAGTGATTACAAACTCTTGGCAAATTATCTGTAATAACTTATTTTCTAGAGATTAATTGGAACTTAAAAAAAATGGATAGAAGTGAAATGAGCAAACTTCAAATGTGATAATTCTATATAATACAGAACCACTATTTAGAAAGATTTAAAATTATAAAGTTCTTTGCCATAACGTAGAACAGTGAAATAGGTTTCATTTCTAATGTGCTCCAACTATCTAAGCAGGTGTGTGGCTCCTATATACTCGGAATTATGTGGTCAAAGAATAGTCTAGAAAATTTTTAGAATAATTTAAGTCAGTAAAATATTTTGAACATGCAATCATAAAACAAGTATATGTACATAAATCATATTTATGTATATACATTTTTACCCAGTAAAAATGTATATACATAATTAGACATTTAAGAAGAATAAGATATAGGCAAAATATGTATTTTTAATGTACTGGAAGTTTTGATCATTCTGTATTTTTGTTAGTAAATATGTCAAGGTACAATATACACTTAAGGAAGACTTGTTAATGTCAGTGAATATAATAAACCCATATTCAAAGTCCTCACAATTTAGAATTTTTTTTTCATAATTTTTAAAATTTGTTAATTGAGGTACATACAGTTAAATTCCCCAAGTTTTAGTGCACAATTTGATTAATTTTTACGTGTGTATATACCCCTGTGACCATCACCCATATCAATGTATCAAACATTCTTACTAAATTTTTTTTCCCTTCACCCATCCTCCCACCACTTCCCCTCTAGGAACCGCCAGTTTGTTCTCTGTATTATGAGTCTTTGTCACTTGCGTATGTTTGTTTTCTTTTGTGTATTCCACATATAAGTCAAATTATACAGTATTTGTCTTTCTCTGAATTTTTTTCACTTAGCATAATACTCTCTTGGTCCATCCATGTTGTCGCAATTGACAAGATTTCATTTATATTTTCGGCCAAGTAACATTGCATTGTGTATAGGTACCACATCTTATTTATCCGTTCATCTGTTAATGGACGTTAAGGTTAGTTTTCTTATTTTGGCTATTGTAAGTAATGCTGTGATAAGTGTAGGTGTGCTTATATCTTTTTGTATTGGTGATTTTACATAATTTAGAATTTCTGACTGATTTCTTACTAAATATATACTAGGTTTTTTTTTTTCACCTTCTAGTGTGGCTGACCAATAATATATTTAGGTCTATTTAACTATGGTTTGCTGGCATTTTCATTGTTATCATTTTCAGTCTGTCATTTTTTGTAGGACACACGCATACACATGTCCATGGAGTCAGTCCTCATCATCTGCACTAGTTATGTCCTGCAAAGTCACTGTGAACACTGACTTGGCAAATACTGAGACATAGCTCCTTGGTGAAATTTAGAGCTGAGTTCTGAAGAGCCTCTGGTCACTTGATCAGCTAATCAATCATATTTTTGTTTCATGTGTGTTTCCTTTTAAAGATACCTTATGTAATATCAGTTGCCGGTCCACAAACATTGAATTCATGGTCAATAGCCGTATAAGTCATGCTTGAAGTAAGCTTATCCAAAACACACACCGGTTTTCCTTAAAGCACAGTACGGCCTTCTTATGCTTACAAAACAAGACAACAACTGAGCACTATGCTTAAGGGCCATTTTAAACAGTGTAATCAGCAACAAAAAGCACAAAAATGCTAAAATCATGGCACTTAATAGACTGTAAAAGGGGCACTTACTCACAGTGTAACAACACTAGCCAAAAGGGAGAGAACAGTGCTGTGTTAGACCTCAGCTGGAAATACACATGCATTGAGTGACTCAGATATTTTGCTGTTCTGTGCTTGTTTGCAAATGATCACAAAGTCCTTGTGAGTATAGGTTTTTGGGGTTACAGATAGATTTTAGGGAGTAGATCAATGTAGAATTCATGAAAATTGAAGATCAGTTGTATATATGTAAATATGTATCCTCATATGCATACCTGTATGTCTATATGCATATAAACACTATATGTATAAAATGCTATATTAACTGTAATTTTTATGCATACATATATTCATATACATATACAAATCCTATACACACATATATATACACACACACATGTACTGTATTCTATATTATTATATTCATTTCTACATATATTTCCACCACAAAAGGTGTTGACATGCTATGATAAAGTTATAGAAATATCAGAAATTAAAGTGCCTAGATATGGTCAGAGTTTTCTGATTGTATTTGTATGAAATGCAGGAAGTTAAAATAACATTTTCAGATGTGAAAGAAATTCATTTTCTCAAAAGATCTGCTTTGCTATAGAATACATAGTTGAGTTTTTTAATACATGTTTAGCATTTCTATTAATTTAAAGGAAATTATCCACAGTAATATATAACATTCCTTTGGTACATTAGCCAGTTTCGAAGCCCACTGGAGTCCAAGAATCTTGGTGTATATAAATGAGCTCTACTGTTTCTTTCCAAACATATAGGCATTCCAGCTCTACAGATTCTTGATGCCCCTCAAAACCAATTTTCATGAGCAGTGTTAAATGTAGAGGTAAAAATTCTGTCACTACACCGTCTGGTGGCGTAAAGGGGGGAAATGATGGATGGAAGGGTGGAAAGAGATGAAATTTTCATTAACTTGTGAAGGTCTGGAAAAAAGCTGGTTGGGTTGGGGTGAGGAGTGGGGTTGGAGTGGTTCAGAAAACACAATGTAAGACTT